TATAAGGTGTTTAAGGTTTTTTAGGTATATAGCTTTTACTATACACTTAGATATATGATATATCTAAATACATGATAAAAAGTATAGTATTTAGAAAAGTCAAAGCGGCTTATAAATTGGAACGAAGGAAGTAGCTAGTAAGATCATCCATGATAAGTTTGTTTATGTCGGCTTGCACTGGTTCAAGCGTAGGAGATTGGACTATAGAAAGGGATAAGACAACATCTATTCTTAAGCATGGATAGAGGTACTTGGTGACTGTACGAATGTCGATGGCCGAGACACTATCTTACACCACTTAAACACCTAAAGGAATACACACACAGAAGTAACACATGGGTGATGATCGATGGATAGTGCTATTGTCAAAACATAAAGGCATTTGTGAGTTGTGACCAGGAACAAAAAAAAATGGATCTTATCAGGAATGAGGAGCTCATCTCCCTTCTGCTTCCTCTAGCCCCCTCTTTTTTCTTACTTTTCTTTTTTCTTCCCTCTTTTTCTCTCTCCTCCCTCTATGTTTTTTTTATAAGAAGCGTGGTATATTTACAATTGGAACAGCTTATACAAACAAGGGAGAAAGGCTCCCAACAAGACAAAGCAATAGATCGATCTAAAGGGGCATCTAAGTACATGTTCGGAATTAGAACAAGAAAAACTCGAAGAACAGAGCTGGGGTGGTCTTGCTTTAGAGGCAATAATATTGTGTATGGAGCTATAGCGTGTAGGGGGGCTTGAGCCCCCATATAGCATCACGCTGGATCTGCCCATATTTATGACTTCATTCGCGCGCACACACACATATATATCCTTTCTATGTATTTGTTCCTTGTCACACATGCCCACTGTTCACCTAAATGGCTAAACAGAGTTTAAACCGTAAACAAAGGAGGGCAATATGCCCTAAACGGTGAATTAAACTATTGAACCGTTTAAACCTATTTAAACTAATAAAAACCGTCTAAACGGTCTAGACATACTCGAGTTAAACATGATTAAATGAGTTGAATGGCCATTTACCAACCATTTAGTCAATAAGAGAATTATAACTTCCACGTTTGGCACCCAACTAATTGACATCGTAAGTATATGAGGTGGAGTAGAATTTAATTTTCTTCCAAAAAAAATATTTTGGCAGAATACTTATTTTTTTACATGCATAAATATGTACACTTTCTGGCATATTTGACTTTTACACGGTGTTATCCTAAACGTTAAACAGTCGATCACCTGTCGTTTAGCCTATTATTCGGGCAAAGCGACTTTTTACCGTTTAGCATTTAGGATAACACTAATGCCTTTAATTTTCTTCCTAAGCTCTGTCTCATCTCATCTCTATGTATATGTTTCCATTTAGCCACACAATTGTGTCGTAGGGAGATATGTGTGCTGGTGGGGTAAGAGGCATCATACCCGTTATGAATTGGATTTATAAGTGGGATAAAACATGATAATTGTCTATTAGTAACTAATGGGATTTTGATAAGGGGAAAATTTAAATGTTTAATGTTCATGAGTGGAGGTGGAACGTGCAAGATCTCTATTAGTACACTACACTGATACTTGGTGTAGAGATAAAGAGTTCTCGCTATATAAATATATATCAACACCCCATGAGTTGGTCCTTCCAAGTATAAGCCAAAACCCCTCTCTATAGGACATGCGCTAGGTGCTAGCATGCCAGCACCCCGCGTTCTATCTCTGTACGCGTGGATACCGTGGATAGGTTGTTTCTCACTACTACAAATTAACCTATCACCAATGCCTCTATCAACATCGGTATCATTAAAACGTTAGTGATGCTTATCACCAACGGTTCGTAATACGAACCATTGGTGATGAGAGCATCACCGCTGGTTCGTAAGAACGTCGTGGTTGATAACTATCACCGCTGCTTCGTCTTACCAATCGACGTGATAGTCCATCATCATAGCCGGTTTGCACCACCAACCAGCGCTGATGATGTGCTCCTCATCACTGCCGTCCTCGCCATATGAACCAGCGGTGAAGACGGTTTTCATCGCCCGCTTGTTGTAAGATACGGCGATGATAACCGTGCTACAGTACAATAAAATTCATAACTTTTTCAAATAAAGTTAGATGAAAACAAACTTTATATCAAAGTTGAGATCTGCAACTTTGTAGTTGATGACTTTTTTATTTGAAGCCATTTACGGTCCTAGAATTCTTTTTGTAGCGCTCAAATTTGGAAATTTATTTTTTTCGAATTGTACAAATGACCTTAGATGGAAAAATGATCAAAATAAAGCTGTAGATCTTGATGTAGTTGACAACTATTTTATTAGAAATCATTTATAGTCTCAAATTTGTATATGAAGATTTAAAATTTTAAAAAAGCAAATTTTTCAAAAACCTCGGATCGAAAATTGACCAAAAGCAAAGTTGTAGATCTTGATGAAAACAACAACTTTGTAGTTGATGAGTTTTTATTTGAAATCATTTGATGTCCCAAAAGTCTGGCTAAAGTTTTGATGTTTTGAAATTCAAATTTGTCAAACGACCTCGGATGGCAAAACAACAAAAATTAAAGTTGTAGATCTTGATTAGAACAATAAATTTGTAGTTTATGACTTTTTCATTTGAAGCCGTTTAGGGTCCTAAATATTTATTTTAAATCCTGAAAAGTGAATACTAGGGGAATGTATATGCTATATAGACAAAAGTGACTTATGGGTGAAGTGGTTAAAGGAGAGTGGTTAAAGGAGTTAAGAGAGAGGAGAGTGGTTAAAGGAGTTAAGAGCAAATGTCTCGGGTTCGAATTCCATCACCATCGCATAGTACCATGAGGTGGAGCTGGTGGGAGGGTCTTCATAGAATTGAAACAAATTTTTTGGCATGGTTTTTAGATTTTTGAAAATTTAAATCACCGTCGACTGGTAATACAAACTGACTGTGATAATCTAGTATCATCGTCGGTTGCAAACCACTGTGATAAATTAACCATAGACAAGTACTTCCATTTGTTCCACTTGTTCCATTTGTTCCATCAATGGAGCCCCAAAATCCTGTCCGACCCTCTTGGCCTCTCGCTCACCCCACCCGATCCGTCGTCCTTGCAATGTCCACCCATCCGCATCGCTCGCCTGCACCAGCAGAGCGCAGCGCAGACGAGCAGGGGCCGGTGCCACCCGCCCAGGAGCCCACCCCACCAGATCCGCTTTCGTCGGGGGCAGGGGGCGGCGCCGGCTGTCACCGCCTCACCTCACGCTCGCAAAGACTTTTCGCTCACCAGATCACCCGCACCCCCACCCGATCCACCCGTCGCCCGCCGCCCAATCCCCTTGCCTCTTGCCGTCCTCCGCCCAAGCCAACCGCGCCACCGCCTTCCCTACACCTCGCCGCACCTCCCTCGCTTCTCGGCCGGCACCGCGCTGGCTGCCGCCCTGGCCGCCGCGATGCCGTTGACGCCGGCGTGCGTGGGTGGGAGAGCCCTAAGCCGCTTTTCGGTTGGCCGCCGCCGCAGAGGCGCTTGCAGAGACCAGCGAGGTCGCAGCGCCCCACGTCCTCCGATGGAGGTCGCCCCAGCCGTCGGAATCGGCCGGTCACCGAGCTCCTCTGCTCTACTCTGCGTCATCCTAAACAGGGGAGGCATGTTTCGGGTTTTGGATAATCCGTCGAGTTTCGGGGATCCATGGATTTCGGTTTCGGGGATGGATTTCCACCCGATATGGTGTTCGGGTCGGATTCGGGTTTTCAATTCGGGTTTCGGTTTTGGGTGCGCAGAGGCTTCGTCGGATCCGAATCCGACCCGTTGCCATCCTTACTCTGGCTCCCACCTCGCAAATGTGACTAACACCAGCTCCGACAACGATGCAGAGGTGGAGGCAAGGGCTACTCTACGCGTTGAAGGTGGTCTATATGACTCCCCGCCGAGTTGTATTCGATGTTGCCTTATAATTCTTATAACAAGACATTTTTCCGTAGATAGGAGAAAAAAGAAACCCCGAAACCTGGAGTCAAATTCAAGGGTGCTTTAGGAAACCTAGGCCTTGTTTAGACGGGACACTGTAGCACATTTCGTTTGTATTTGACAAACTTTGTCTGATTATAGACTAACTAGGCTTAAAAGATTCGTCTCGTGATTTACAACCAAACTGTGTAATTAGTTAATTTTTTTATTTATATTTAATGTCCATACATATATCTAAAAATTAATATGATGGAGAAAGAGTAAAAAAACTTGGAATTTTGAGCCAATCTAAACGAGGCCCTACTCCTACATTAACACAACGGGAGTCGGAAAAAAAATATTAGCACAACGGGCGACTGCCACCGCTGTGCCATTGGTACGGTTCCTAAAAATTCCTCCAGAAAAAAAAAGGCACCCGAAAATTCAACTTTATCCGGAACAAAAAGGCACCGCGTCAGCAGCACGAGTGGCACGTCATCTATCCCCCACCAAAAAGAAAAATTCACGCGCACGCTCCACGCAAATGACCGGAACGCCCTTCCTTCCTTCCCAGCCTTCCACCGCTCCAACGCCACGCCCCAGTCGTCCACTCCGGTGCCTCTGCTCGATAAAGCTTGCCAGAGTGCAGAGGGAGAGAGAGACGAAGAGCTCTGGCCGCCAGCTCGTGTCACTCGCTGCCTGCCGGTCTGCCTCTCCGTCCTTCCTCCCTCCTCGATTCTCGTGCACCGGCGTCCTCTGCTCGCTGTCGCTGGATTCAAAAAGTTTGAACCTTTCCTCCGCGTTCTATCGACCCCAACTCCGTCGCCGTCGTCTCTGCTGCTCTTGGCCGCCACCGGCCGCGACGTGGAGCATAGCGACCTCTTCTGAGCCGGTCTGTGGCCAGCCCGATCCGCGACGCCTCACCGGCCCGCGGTTCCAGCAGCTTCCCTTCCTCCCACCACTTCTTCTCGGAGCTCCGACCCAAAATTCCAGCGTTCTCTCTTGGCAAGGTTACTGTATTGGCCGGAAATCCCCCGATTGGCTCTCGCCAGCTCGAAGGGCGGCAGCGCGCGGCTCGCATTGCGGCCTGATGATGGCGGCGAGGCTCAACGCCGCGGCGGCGGCGCTCGCGGTGCTCGCGGTGCTGTGCTGGGCAGCCGGGTCGGCGACAGCGCTGGGGATGAACTGGGGCACGCAGGCGACGCACCCGCTGCCGCCCAAGGCTGTGGTGCAGGTGCTCCAGGACAACGGCATCAAGAAGGTGAAGCTGTTCGACACCGACCCGGCCGCCATGAGCGCGCTCGCCGGCACCGGCATCGAGGTCATGGTCGCCATCCCCAACAACATGCTCGCGGACCTCGCCGACGACGCGGGAAAGGCCAAGGACTGGGTCAAGCGCAACGTCAGGCGCTACGACTTCGACGGCGGCGTCACCATCAAGTCAGTCAGTAGTCCCTTCCCTTCTTCCTCCCTATATATATATCTCACCCGCCGCCGCCGCCGCCGCGCCATGGCTGTCATTCTTTATCTGCATTGGTTGTTCTAGCCATGGCATCGCCGCATCAGCTGCACGGTGACCTCTTGCGATGGTGACGTGTTCCGAATTGCTCTGCTCGTGGGCGCAAAATTATGATATATCCCCTCCCGCCAAATCATCTGCGGTAGATAATCGGATAGCGATATGCTTCGAAAATCATGTGTCCTTTGGCCTCGAGCTACCGTCTTGCAAATCTGAAGAGCATCGCCAGACCATCAAGGATGATTTTTTTGGATGAGGTTGGTCGGATGGTGGGGACTGGGGACAGCGGTCGGTGGAGGAGAGGTTGTTGGCAAATTCGGGGACCCATAGGAACACATAATTTTCAGTAAATGTGCAGTAGGAATTTCATTTGAATTAGCTCATTTTACGCATGATACAGAAAAAAAAATTCCACATTTCAAAAGTGGCCTCAGTTGGCCGTGCAAGGCATCACATTTCTCTCCATGAGTCGTTTTCGGACACGGATAATGCTATAGGAGTTCACGCTTGTTATTCTTTGAATATCAGTTTGATTGGCATTATTATATTAGATAAAATAATCCGGTGGCTCACTGACGGTCCGGTGTACCAACTATCAAGTATACCTCCATATCTTCCTTTGATCAACTCGTCGTCTAGGATACGTCTGGAACGTGGGAAATTGCTTGTTTTCTGTGGGCAGTTTTTGATCAAGCATGGATATTGGATAATGTCAGAGGGTGGTTTATTTGAATAACAGTTTGTCGGTAAGGTAGGTGGCGGGGCAATTGTGCAGAGCATGGTCAATCATGACTCAGCCAATTTGATTGTGGCATGTGTTGTGTTGGAACATGGGCAATTCCAAGATGATTGTCATTTTCATTTCATTGTTTGGTTGAATATCAGTGGGTAAGCTATATATTGAATTAATCCAACAGTTTGAACACGGTCCAGATGATTGCTAGTAGTAGTAAGTTCCAAGCTACCAACTACCAAGCATGGTCAAACTTGGTTTGGTGATTCCATTGATTTCTTAAGGCCACATATTGGGAACACATAATATGAAAACACACAAACACGCACATCCCTTTCAATCTCTTGCGAAGTTAGTGGATCCTACAGATTGATTGATTACTTTTAGTTTTTTGGAGGGTTTTGTTGTAAAACATTGAACACGTAATTGGAGATTTGAGGATATTGCTTAGAAACAGTGCAACAAAATTGCTATGCACTGATTGAACTTTAGTTCTCCAATCCAACCTATCGTCGTCCTTTACACCCTGCAAGTGGCTGTCCAGTCCTCCATCAGCAGGCGCACCAACTACCTAACCTGACCACAACCAGCGGCACTGGCAGTGAGTGCTGCCTGCTGATCCGACGGAGAAGCCACTCATGCCCCAATGCCCACTTCTCATTTCCTCTCTAGAGTTTTCTGGTGATGCTCGTCTTCTAGAACTGTTTTTTTTTGTCAAGGTGGTGAGGTCAGATTTACTGTTTCGCCAACTGCCAAACGAAGTCTACCAAAATTATCCACTTCTCATTTCCTCTATAACTTTTTCCTTGTGATGATCTTAAGCTCTGAACTAATGCTAGTAGTGCTTGGAACCAAGAATTAAGCTCGTTTTAGCATTTTTTGGTCTTTAGTAGTATTGCATTGCAAACCACGGATGATGTGTTTTAAGCTGCGCATTTCTAACAAATTAAGACCACAGAGCACATTTCTTCCTTCATGCTACAAGCTTTGGCAATTGACGTGGGCGCCTACTGATGAGAGATGTCAGAGCTAACTAAGAAGCTTGTTGTGATCCATCCACTGATGTTGCAGGTACGTGGCCGTCGGCAACGAGCCGTTCCTGGAGTCGTACAACGGCTCCTTCATCAACGTCACGTTCCCCGCGCTGGAGAACATCCAGAACGCGCTGAACGACGCCGGCATCGGCGACCGGATCAAAGCCACCGTCCCGCTGAACGCCGACGTGTACAACTCCCCGAAGAATAACCAGGTACCATCAGCGGGGCGGTTCCGGACCGACATCGCCGGCCTTATGACAGACATCGTCAAGTTCCTAGCCAAGAACGGCGCGCCCTTCACCGTGAACATCTACCCGTTCCTGAGCCTGTACCTGAACGACAACTTCCCTCTAGACTACGCCTTCTTCGACGGCGGCGCGACGCCGGTGAACGACAACGGCGTGCTGTACACCAACGTGTTCGACGCCAACTTCGACACGCTGGTGGCGGCGCTCGCGGCCGTGGGCCACGGGGACCTGCCCGTGGTCGTGGGCGAGGTCGGGTGGCCCACGGACGGCGACAAGCACGCCAAGGCCTCCTACGCGCAGCGGTTCTACGCGGGGCTCCTGAAGCGGCTGGCGGCGAACACCGGCACGCCGGCGCGGCCAAAGCAGTACACGGAGGTGTACCTGTTCGGGCTCGTCGACGAGGACGCCAAGAGCGTGGCGCCGGGGAGCTTCGAGCGCCACTGGGGCGTGCTCCGGTACGACGGGCAGCCCAAGTTCGCGATGGACATGACGGGCCAGGGCCGGAACACGATGCTGGTGCCGGCGAAGGGGGTGAAGTACCTCCCCAGGACGTGGTGCGCGCTGAACCCCAACGCGAAAGACCTCGGGAAGCTTGGTGCTAACATAGACTACGCCTGCACGTTCGCTGACTGCACGCCGCTGGGCTTCGGCTCCACGTGCAACGGCATGGACGTCGCCGGCAACGCGTCGTACGCGTTCAACGCGTACTACCAGGTGCAGAACCAGAAGGACGAGGCCTGCGACTTCCAGGGCCTCGCGCTGCCCACGGAGACCGACCCGTCCACGGCGACATGCAACTTCACCATACAGATCCAGACCGGGGCGGCTGCGGCCATGGCCATGGCGTCGCTCGGCAGCCGGAGCGCTGGAGCGGCCGCGTTGGTGCTGGCGTTGCTGCAGCTCTTGGTGCTGTGGTAGCAGTGGTTGTGTGCACTTGCTTGCCGGGAAGAAGATCAGCGGTGTAAGGTTGATTGATTCTGTGCATTTTTTTTTACGATTCAAAACATGTTTTTGTTTGGACCGGAGTAGATGCTTGTTTACTTCCTGGGGTTAACATGTGAATAATTTAACTCATCTGTTCAGAATTGGATTTTCCCCTTTGTCCCTCTTCTTTGCGCAAAAGGATTACGGCGCTGCTAGCGCACGGATGTTCGTCCGATTCGAAGAGCTAAACCGTCAGCGCGTCTTCCTCCGCGCACGTTTCACTTCGCAACAAGAGCACGCAGCGCGCCGCCACGTCCCCGTCCCCCGCAATGCCCCTCATCCCTTGCTGCGCTCCTGTCCTCCGTTGCACCACCATCACCGTCCTCAAGTTCAATCTCCTCTGCAAACATTGAGTTTCCCTACGACGTCATCAAAGATGATCTTGTGCAACATAATAATATCATATACTGCAACATCACAAACTCTGTCGGGGTGTTCTCCACCGTGCCCAGTTGACCGCCTATAGCCATCCTCCCTCTCCACTACACCCGAGCGCCGCTTGTTGACTATCGTAGTTCCCCACCAGGTAGGCCGTGCTCACCGGTGATGTCTTGTTTCAAGTGTTTCAGACATATGTTTTCAAGTGTTTCATCTGGATGTTGCATATGTTGCAATGGCTATATACGCATGTCGCGAGTGTATATATGTTTCATGTTGCAAGCATATGTTTTGAGTGTTTTAAACGTATGTTTCAAGTGTTTCATCTGGATGTTACAGAAGTAGATCTAGATGTTGCATAAAATGCATGTTTCAAGCATATGTTTTCAAGTGTTCAAGTGTTTCATACGTATGTTTTAAGTGTTTCATCTGGTTGCTGTAAAAATATACATATATGTTGCATATGTTTGCAATGGCTTTTCAAATATTATTCAGGTGTCTTGCAAGTGTTTCGGACGTTTGTTTTGAGTGTTTCGGCTGTTTCGGACATATGTTGTAAGTGTTTTATCTGGATGTTACAAAATACTCCCTCCGTCCCAAAATAAGTGACGTTTTGGGTTTTCATGCCACAAGTTTGACTCGATTTATAGAAAATATGTGTAATATTTATATCTTCAAATAAATTTGTTAAAAAACTAGACAAAAAGATCTTTTCGATGATACTAATTACTTAACATAAATATTTATATATTTTAATATATAATTGCCGCAAATTGCCCTCTGCAACTGCTGGAGCGGCGACTTATTGTCACCGTGATGTAGATTTGTGGCGCCCATCCACAGGCGGGCACATGGACTCCCACGCATGAAACTGGAACAGACGTAGAGGGGCGACGTGTGTCACCGTGATGCATTTGTGGCGCCCGGCTCGGGAAAGGGCGACATGGACTAGCGACGCATGAAACGGAGCAGACGTGGGTGGGCCCGCGTGTGTGCAGGAAGCGAAGCGGCACGGCTCGGGAAAGGAGTGGCACGGGGAAAGGAGCGACATTAGATTATGCATCCGGACCTGCCCGGAGGATTAATCTGTTCTGAAGTTACGTACGGAGCAATCAACACCACATAGATTATGCACAATTTTCTTGTTTCCATATATATCACACTTATAACATCGAACGTGAACTAGAACCTGAAAGGGGGTAAACTGGCCATCTTTCCATCACAGTAACACTCAATCTTTGCTTTGACCATTCAGCAGGAGGATTCGAAGTCAGCGATTTTTAAGACATGATTATGATTCTGAATTTGCACTCTCTTAACGAAATCTGAATTTTCACTTTTTTTTAGGGGAATCTGAATTTTTACCTGGAAACCAAAGATGGCCGGCCCATCTCCAAACAGACAAACACTCCAACTTGTGCATAGGCCGCACAGCATTTGCCCCATGGCCCATGGGCCTTCGGCCCGTTGCAAGCGAGCCCAGACCTAAACCCTACACGACGGCTGCGACGCCTACAAATACCCGAGGCTGGGAGACCCCTTCACTCGATCACTCCTCAGCTGCGGCCGCCGCCGCTGCGCTCTCTCTGCAGACTAGTGTTCGTCGCCTTCTCGCCGCGCCGCCCCCTCCCCGAATCGCCAGCTCTTGATCAGCGCTGTTTTCCTTGGCTTGCTTCGTTTGCGCCGCTGCTTGTTTCGTTTGTTTTTGGTTTGGTTTGGTTTGCCTAACATTGCAATTGTCCGTCGCTGCATCCGGTGCGGCGGGCGATCTATCGTTAGGCGAGAATGAACCCAAGGGGAGGGCGCTTTCCTAGCTCTTCCCGCCTGCTTTTTAAGCTCCGGCCGTCCTGCCTTTTCCCAGGGTTCGCCGGTGACAAAGCAGGCAAATTTCTTCTGTTTCTTTTGCTTGATGTTTGATTTGATTGGTCTTCAATATGTGGCTTGGCTTGCGATGGCAATGGCGAGGATGACGAAGAAAATCAATCGGATTCCCATTGATTTCTACGCGAAAGATGAGATCTTAACCAGCTACTTCTGACTCGCGATGCCGCTGCCATTGGCTTATTCTTGGAAGAGACTTTGCTTCTTTTTCTTTTTCTTTTTTCTGTTGATGGCGAGGATGACGAAGAAAATCAATCGGATTCCCATTGATTTCTACGCGAAAGATGAGATCTTAACCAGCTACTTCTGACCCGTGTGTCACGATATCACTTCTCCATCATCTAGTTTACCATGAACAGAGTGGATTTAGTGTGAAATTTGCTAACTATTACACCGAGCGATTGCTCGTCACCGCCGTCTCCGGCACAGCCGGCCGCCTCCGTCCACTCCGTTCTCGATCCCCTTTCTCTCCCCCCCTGGTTAACGTTCACGATCGGTCGATTCTACACGGCTCTCTTCTCCTGTGCCACCCACTCTGGGCCGTGATACCGCGGGTTGGGCCTGCATCTCTTCTGGGCTGCTTCTCCTTAATTCCGGTCTCAGCATCAGTGTTCCCGTCTTGATCAACTCCTCCGTCTTCAGAGCTTGATGCTGGTAGGGTCGTGACACCGTGATGCCGCTGCCATTGACTTGTTCTTAGATGACACTTTGTTTTTTCTTCTTTTTTTTTCCTGTTACCTGTGGGTGATAATCCGTCGGGGGCTCGGGGCCGGTGATGTGATCAAAATATTTGCTACTCTTGATGGGGTAGGAGCCCCGCCTGATGATCACGAACCACCAAGATCTCTGAGGCCCTCTGTAATCAGTCTTGCTGTTTGTTTCTGAATGTTTGAAATAGCGGATGGGGCACGTAACATCTTCGAACACAGGAATAACAAGTGCCGATTCAAGACGACTGCACGATTTACATTGTGGACGCCAATAACTGTACGAAATCCATCCGGAAGAGAAACAGAGCCAATTTCCAAAATCCAAAAAAACTGCATATTGATAAAGCTGTTCATATATAAAGGTAATGGAGAGCCGGGACGAAGAAAACCAATCTGTTTTCCCTGCAGTCTACGAAAGAATGTAAATTACCGGGTCAAACCATCATGAGTTTGACTATCTTTTAAGAAAATGTTTCAAAGTTTATGATGTACATGTGTTATTGAATGGCTAAAATATATTTGCTACTCTTGAGTCTTGATGGGCAAGAGCTCCATGATCCTGATGATCACCAACCGACAAGATGTACTGCCGTACTGGACTTGTGTTATAGCCAGTTTAGCCACAATATCAGGAGACAATTCTTGTAGGATTCAAAGATTCCACATATAACCTGAGGTGATGATGGAATAAATCAAGACATATGCTCTGCAACTTAATTTGATTCTCTGAACATTGAGGCAAACATGGCCTTCCGAATTATGGAATAAACTGAGACGAATGCTTTGAAATTGAAGTTGAGTTTCTGAACATTCAGGCGAGCAAGGCCTTCTAGCCTATGGAATAAAGATGAGTGAATGCCTTGAAATTTAAGTTGATTTTCCAAACACGACGACGAGTGCACATAGCATATGTTGCCTCTGACAGTCCCCTTCATTCAGGACAAGAACCTCGCTACTGAATTTCATTGGCCATGTTCGTTGCTGAAAAGTTATGCTGAAAAGTACTATTCACTGATTTTTTGTGAGAAAAAAACACTGTCACGATCATGCCACCATCATTTGCCTCGCTCTCTCGCAATTTCCCTTTCTAGTTTCTACTCTACCGTGATAGAGACCCAGCACAAATCGAAGCTAATAAGCGGCTGACACCAGGCGAGAGGCTTCACTCGTTTGATGATTGACCGGAAGTGTTGCCAAGTAAAGAGAGTGCAATCAAGTAGCAAATGCTTCACCTTTAGCTAGACGTTGTAAACATTCCGCGTCCTGGTTTGAACAAGTGCCTGCATGTGCTCTGTCCTTCCATCATGCCGATTGTAATTTGCCGATGCCTAGCTAATAAGCTTCTCTCTTTGCTCGCAAAAAAAGAAAAAAAGAAAAGAAAAGGCGAACAGCAGGACCATTGCCAGTCAACCCCTCCTTCCGTTCCAGCAGTGTTTACCTCTCAAAGCAACTATACCCCATGGTCTGATTCTGATCTTATGGATGATGATATACTCTGATGAATCCCATGTACTCGATCCAACTCTCAACAAGCGTTGCTTTCCAACGGACGCACTGATCATGAGTACAGCAAAGAATGGCGAAAGAAATTGCATGTGGACATCCATGATTCACAAACCTTACAAGGAACGACACAAGAAACGGAATCGGCATCTATCTATAGGCTTATCTACCTTTATCTCATCACATATACTAGTACTGCTTGGTAGGAGGATCAGATAACGGCCTGTTTAGATTCCAAAAAAAATGTAACACATCGAATCTTGCATGCTGGTTGATGGAATAAATGTAGATAAAAAAAATTATAGATAAGCAGTTGGATGAGAAATGGCGAAAGAAATTGCTTTTGGACATAATGATTCACAAATAAGGAACGACACTAGAAACGGAATTGGCATCTATCGAAATATCTTTCAGTACTACCTTTATCTCATCACATATTTAGTATACTTGGTAGGAGGATCA